CATGAGAGTTGGCATTGTTTTGGATCAACGGTTTAGAAGAACCAGTAACATCAACCTGCTGGAAGACCTGATCGCCTGGCACCTGGTGAATGAGCCAGAGACCATGACCCCAGCAGTAGTGTCAGCTGTGGGACACTTAAGACCCATCTGCCAAGAATCCAAGAAACAAGTCATGAAAAAAGTGTGTCTCAGTTTTGCCTGATGAAAAAAAAAAATCTGCTTGGTAGTAAATAAAACACGCCAAGACACAGGCAAAGGACACGGATAGATACATAAAAATGACCAACAGGCATAAGAAAATATGTTTACCATCACTGATCATCAGGGAAAGGCAATTTATAGCCACAGTGAGAAACTACCTCACACATTTTAGGATGGCTGTTACCAAAAAAGAGAGGGTGAGAGAAGAAAGCAATCACTGATGAGAACGTATAGCAAAGAGGTCCCTGTCCCATATTCCCCTACTGTAGGTGGGAATATAAATTAGCAAAGTGATTGTTGAAACAATGTGTGAGTTCTTTAGGAAATTAAAAATACAATGATTATATGAGCCAGTGATTTGAGTTCTGGTTACAAATCTAAAGGAGGTGATATCTGTGTCCCCAAGAGTCATCTGCACTCCCAGGCTCATGGTAGCACCATTTAAAATACTCAAGATAGGGAAACTACCTAGGTGTGGGACACATAAGGAAAATTGGGTTAGACAGGTAAATATATGCATAGATACACACACATATACCCATATATATGTAAATACTGATAGAGATGCACATGAGAATATTATTCAGACATAAAAAGTTTGGAAATTCTTTAATTTACAACAACTTGGATAAACCTGGAGAACATTATTCTAAGTGGAATAACCCCAACACAAAATAAAACTTCCTATATGATCTCACTTATACCAGAAACTTAAAAACATCAAAATCACAGAAGAAGAGAATAGAAAAGTGGTTGCTAGAGGCTGGGATGAAACTTGGGTAGGGCAGGAAGAAAGTCTGGTCAAAGCTTTTGAACTTTCAGCTGTAAGGGTAAGTTCTGGGATGACTGGTGACACTTTATTTTGCATTTGAAATTTTCTGGGAGAGTAGATTCCCACCAGGTACAGCCCCCCCCCC